ACAATGGTCCTTGTTAATGGGAGTCATCAAGATTCCAAACCATCATTAATGGCCCACACCTTACATAATTACAGTAGGTCCTCAGAGTTATATTTCATATTTCTAGTTTCAGATACAAGAGAGGTACATTTATACAAATGGGATGATCACACTCAGTAGATTATAAGCTTTATAATGATACCTTACAAGAGACCTTTTGCATGAAGCATATTCCAGTTACATTATATTCACTTCTTATTATGTTTTTATAAAACCATATAGACTGCACAACGTCACAGCAAGCTTCCAAGTACCAAACCCTTCAAACGCTACCATGGGGATCACGTGGCATGACGCCTTGCAGTGAATTGGTCAGAGCTATGCTCATTTGCAACATATGAGGATCTGGCTCGACATCTTCACAAGCAACACCCCCCGCCCCAATACCAATTCGGAAAGAAGCAACATCAAACTTCTAGACACAGAGAAAGGATAATATTCCCGACCATCCTTTAAGCGGGCTTGTCTATATGAACACTTAGGGTATGTCTATACTGCACTCTAACTACAGGCTCAGACTCAGGTTGGAGCCCAAGCCCCACTTCTGTCCAAACACGAGCACGAAGGACCCAGATTCTAGGACACTATGGAAAGGGGGGGAAAGGGGGCAGAGCCCGAGTCCTTCTGTGATTCTGGTCCAAGCCCCATCATTTTGCAGCGTGGACACAATTCAAGCCGCAGACCTGAGTCAGAAGGTCTGAGAAGCGCAGTATGGACACGTTAGCAGGGCTGAGACACCCAGGTCCAACAACTGTAACCCAGGTTTACAATGCAGTGTGGACGCTCAAGTGCGGGCTTGGAAACGCTGAGTTTATAAGCCCAGGTTTCACAGACCCAGGCTTACAATGCAGTGTAGACACACCCTTAGTTCGTGGCAAGCTGGGACATAAATCTACCTGGCATGAGCCTGCCGTGCATTAAACGTTCCCTAGTACGCTTTAATCTACTCCCATTTCGAAGCGTGGTAGATCAAAGAGCGCTACAGAACTTTTAGTGCGTGGCAGTAAGGGTCCACATGGACACAGTGGGGGCAGGTTAGTCTGAGACAGACAAACCCCAGCTTGCCACAAACTAAGTGTTATATAGATAGCACAGACCATTTCACTTTGCTAATTTCAACCATGCAGAGCTTGGCTGCATCCTGAATAAGAGAAGAGCACGGGAAAAGGGAAAAGACCACAGTTCCTAGACATTGCCTTGACAAACCTTACAACATTACCCTAATTACAAAGCTTTTCATTAAAGCAGCTGAGAAGCATTTTCATTACAGAACATTTGCTTTTATATAAGCTTCTTTCATACTTGAAGTGTCTTAAAATGGTTTTACACAGCGATGAGTTCGACAAATAGAGAAGTCATTAAATACTCAGCACTGCAGAAACTGGAGTTTGTTTTACTGACCTGACCCTGCACCAGTGAAATCAAAGAGAGTTTTGCCACTGAAGTCAACGGGAACAGGCCCTCACTGGGCAAAGGAAAGCTGGCCTGGACCAGGACCATGGAACACCATGTTGCTGATTTTTTAAAATTTATGTATTTTTAAATGGCCAAGGATCTGTAAACTACTAGCTGTTGGCAGAAAGGGCCTCACGGAGAACAGCAATAGTTATGCCCTCCGAGCCATACTGCAACATCCCATGTAGACTGGATTTAAAGAAACACCGCATGATCCAACAGGGCCTAAAAGTTAGATTAATTAAAAACAATATTTTCCAAAACCCAGCGCCAGTAGAAATGTTTTGATGCAATTCAAACAAAAACCTAAGGAAAATAACACTTTAAAACCAACATTTCTCTGCAGCATTCACAAGCTGATTACAGTAGCACTTGCTAGTGCACAAGAACCTGAAAGTGAATGAGACGAGAAACCGGCCATATACAAAAAGTGAAACTACAGTGCTAAACCTTCCTTTCATTACCCAAGACGAAATGAAGAACAGGAGGCAAAAAGCAATCAACAACGATAGCACATCAAGTGTTGTTGTAGCTGTATTGGACCCGGAATATTAGAAAGACACGGTGGATTATCAGAACAACTTTTGTTGGTGAGAGAGACAAGCTTTCGAACTTACAAAGAGCTCTTCTTCAGGTCTGGGATTCCCAGTTTGTTTAAAAGTGTCATTTAACTGGGATTTCCAGACCCAAAGAACAGCTCGGGGTAAGCCTGAAATCTTGTCTCTCTTGCCAACAGAAGTTGGTCCAATAAAAGATGTTGCCTCCCCCACCTTGTTTCTGTAATGATAGAACATGATAGCTTTTCAATTATTTTGGTTCCAATTACCTGAAGTGTTGTTAGTAACATAGATACAGAGACTATTTTTAAAAGACATGACTTTTAACTTGACAGTGTCCTTTTAAGTCCAAATTATGCTACTTGAACCTATGGGGCAAAATTCATTCCTGGTATAACTCCACTAAAGACATCAATGGAGTTACAGCACGATTAATCTGGCCCAAGGTTTTCACAATTGAGACAGACTAACACCTATTAGGGGCTTGTTAAAAGGAGACATTTTCCCAAAACTCTGCTGACAAATGGTTATATCATCATCTGAAGTGCTCTTTGTTTAGATGTTGTAGGTCAGTATGTAGGACCCGATTCTACTCCTGCTGAAGTCAATGGCAAACCCTCAGTTGACTTCAGTGGGATCTGCACTGGGCCCTTTCTACAGCAAGCAGTTGAAGTGGACCAGAATGGTTTTTCCTTTGCTGTTTGTGAGGTTTAACTCCTACCTTTCCATCAGATGCAGTGTTTATCCTGTAGTGGTACACCCTTCCCTCGTATCTCAGTGATATAGACCTCTGTCCTGGGCTGCTCTCACTCTCCCGCACCAGAAAGCTGCCATTGATTCCGCTGCTCAGCAGGTATTCGGCGGCATTGCGCGACACTGGTCCATGGTACCAGGAATGTTTCTCCAAACTGTTCACTGGGGTGATGTAGTTACTTGGTACCCAGCCCTGCCCATTCTTTGTTTGGGCCTCACACCATTCCCCGTTATGATTGTAGCCCAAGACACGGAGCTTTTCACCTTCACATAAAAACAAAATATAATTAGACATGGCAAACCTGGGATCTGAGAGAAAAGCTACGTTCCCTTCTGGCTCACACATCACCATCCAAAGTTCTGCAATCAGAATATAGGCACTGATTCAGCAGAGAACTTAGGCATGTGCGTGCCTTTAAACACAAGTATATTCATCAAAGCCAATGGGACTACTCACATGTTTAAAGTTACATATGTGCTTAAATGCCTTGGTAGACTTAAAGTTCACAACTCTCTTGCTAATGCATGAACCAGAATAGAATCCAACAAACTCTACCTGAGCTACATTGGCTCTGCCGGGCTAACAGGTGGGAGAAAAAGGAGTTAAAAACGTATTGATTAGCAAGGCAAGCAGATGTGGTTTGAAGTACACATATGGCATAGAACCTCTGAGTAAGGAGGGGATATTTTTATATAGTCACTTTTCAGAGAAGAGCTGCATTTTAATGAAACAGTTATAAAGCTACAGACCATACTCTAAAAAGTACTTTAAAAGTACAGTTAAGGTTTAATCCAGCTTTAAATCCTTGCTTCCACTGAAGGGCTTAATTTTAGTATACAATTTTCTTCCTCCAATGCACACTTTAAGCAGACTATCCCATTTAAAAGGCTCTTTCCTTGTGTCTTCGTTTGTTTTAGGACAATTTCCACTACAATGATTACACTGATGTGTTTCATAAGGATTATGAACTCAAATATTCCTGACTTCATTTTCTTGTTCCTTGGCACAGATGCTCTAAAACACCCCCTGGAGATCTCTTACCTTTAGTTATGCTGAGAGTGTTGTCCCCACTTGCCACAAAATCATACAGTGCAACAAAAAGATTGGGGTCATTTTCACTAGGACCAGACAGGAGGTTTTCCTTGGAGTTCCAACGGGCTGCTTCACTCAGACCCTGGGGCTCAAAATCGGATACTACTGGCCTCTGAAGGGCTTCTGGAGGAGAAGAGAAAGAAAAAAAAAAGGAAAAAATAGGTTCAATCTTGCTGATAAAAGCCATCTGTTTTTTGCACCCATTATGAGTTTCTCGTTTATTTCATTTCTTGACATCTGTGGTCCTCATGTACATGGGCAGAGGGCAAAAATGGTCATTACCTTAATACAAATCTTATGAAGCATATGGAGCATTCTCATTCCAAAGCTTTGTGCAACAGGGTCCCCACATTCTTTTCTGTAACAGGCATTTTCCCTGCCTTGGTGAAGAGAGAAGACATCTTTTCTCCCTCTCAATAAATTTCTATTCACGCAACCTGCCTGCTGCTTTGCAAGTCATAGAATCATAGGACTGGAAGGGACCTTGAGAGGTCATCTAATCCAGTCCCCTGCACTCATGGTAGGACAAATTATCTAGACCATCCCTGACAGGTGTTTGTCTTAGCTCAAATACCTACTGGATGTCAGATTTATTTATTTATTTATTTATTTAAGAACAGAGGTAAATCTGCTAATTTTTTCTAATAAATACAAAACATCAAAGATCCCAAATCATTATAAGACACACAGGACAATGATTATGGGGCACAATATACAGAGGTTACCATTACAAATACTTCTACTTTAAAAAAAATTATAAACTATCTTCCCTCTTCATTATTTTACCTAACGAGTTCAGAGTACAAGGCTGTGTTTCACCCGACAGCAGCTGATGACATACACAAAGCAGAGATGGGACCATTATATAGATATACACACAGTATACGTTTGAAACAAACAATTTAATACTGTTCACAGCTATGATGATTGTGAAGCTTGGTTGAGGTGGTAGAGTCAGAGGGTGGGATATTTCCCAGGGAACGTCTTGCTGCTAAATGATGAACTAGCACTCGGCTGAGTCCTCAAGGATTAACACATTGTTGTTAATGTAGCCTCTCACACAAGGCAGCACGAACAGGAGGGAGTGGAGACAGCATAGCAGACAGACACACACCTTGTGTGTGGGAGAGAGAGAGAGAGAGAGAGAGAGATGCACACTGCCCCTTTGAGTAAGCTGACCCACTCTTACGTGCATTGTCTTTTAAGTGGATCAGGAAGTTGAGACAGCAGCTGCTGCCCTAAGCTCTCTCTGTCTCTCTCCATCCATCGTCCCCTCCCTGCTCTATATGGAGAAGGGGTAAGCGGGGTGCAGGAGCGAGGGGGGAGGGGGACACCCCTACATTAGCTCTCCCCCTCCTCCCCCTACGCAGCCAGG